GGGAGGGGGGGGAGGGGAGCTTGGCTGCTGCAGGACCAAGCTTCTGCCTCCTGCCCCCGCAGGGGAGAGCGGTGGGGTGGGGGGGCGGGACCCCCCCCAATCACTCTCCCCTGCGGAGGCAGGAGCTTGGTCCTGCGGCAGGCAAGCTTTCCCCCCTCCCTCGTTTCTTCCCCCAGCGTGGTGCATTCGGCCCCTCCTCCTCCTCTCAGTGGGCAGCAGCGTGCCACTCAAAAATCGGCTCACGGGCCGTGTTTGGCACGCGTGCCGTAGGTTGCCGACCCCTGCTGTAGCCCTTGGTCCCATTTTTACTCTTTTCTTGTTAACTCCCTTGGATTAGTCTGTAGGATGAGCTCATGGCCAATACTGAGCCAACTGGGCTTGCCTGAAGAACAGCTGGAGCTCTGCAAGGTATCTGCAACCCTAGCTCCACTCACAGGGCCTACAGCCGGCCAGTACAGCCCATTGACTACATTGGAGGTTTGCTCTTCTGCCTTATTTCCTCTCCAGTTAGCTTTTCTTGATGGCAGGATACCAGTGTAATGCAATGAGTGACATCTGCGCTGTACTGCCTCAGCCCTCCTCATTCTGCTGCAATTCTGTAAAACGCCACTAGGTGTCAGTATTACATTCCCTCTTGTTAATCAAGGCCAGAATTCACTTGTTTTATAGAACTTCATCTGAGGAGTTCAATGGGTTTACAACACTAATGGATTATCCCGACTTTCCCGTAAACAGAACCATGTTGAGATGTCTGGATAATGCGAGCATGCTTACATCCATTTCCCAGAGGGTGAAATTAAGGTAGAAGCAGTAACAAACCCCCTGCCAACTTCACATTGTTACTACAGTAACAGACATTGGACTAGAACTGGATATCCTGACTCATCCTCTACTTTAACCATTGTACCCCAGACCTGAGCTGGGCATAAAGTCTGTGCTCCAACCGCTAGACCTCACGCCCATCCCAGGAACCAGAACAGAGCCCAAGTCCTCACTCTCACTGTGGAGACCCATATGTCTGTTAAATCACCTGAAGGGAAACAGCAACTCTTCCACACTGACAATCAAGCAACCACTTAATCAGAAGTCAAATCATTTTAATTTGCTCCCCCCTATCTTTCCCCAGGGGAATGAGAAGATATAAATACTGCTCCTTCTGGCTTATCTTCCCCTTGTCATCTCACAGAAAGTTAAATTTGAGTGATTCCCCCTCCAGAAATTTAAACGTAGTGAAAAAATGGATGGAGTGGGGCTATCTTGGCCACTAATAAGCCAGAAAAAGCTACAGCTGCAGGAGTCCTCCCCCTCCTCCAAAAAACACCAAATCCATGGTTTCAATGCCCCCCCCCCTTCAAATCTTTGAAATCTGGACACATCTTCCACTAAAATTAAAGGAAGATAAGTGCACACAAGGGCCCTGATCTCAGCTGGCTCATCTAGGCCAGTGATTCTCAAGTGCTGCCACCAGACTTCACATGCAGCCACCCCAACTTTTGGGACACCAGAGCCCCGTCCCTAGTGAGCCTGGGGGTGTTTCATTGAGCGTAGCAAGGCTGCGGGGGCTTCTGGATGTGGGACGGAATGACCCTCTCTCCATGTCCGCCTTATCTGGATTCATAAGAGACACTAGCAGCAGGGCCCTGATTAGCCAGACCGCCCTGCTTCCCTGCTCACCTCCATTGGAGGAGGGCAATGTCACTCACCAAAGGGCCCCATGGCTCTGCTAATCAGTTTGCAGGGGGCGGAGCCAGCCAGAAGCAGGGGCTGTTACACAGTGGACGATTCTGCTCTGTTGTTGCTCCATCTCACAGCATGAGAGGAGGAAGCCGAAGCAGGAAGGTGCGGGCAGGGAGAGGCTACAGCTCTCCGCTGAGCCCCACAAGCAGCTCCAGGGCTGGCTGGCACGGCAGTGACTGTCGGGGTCCAACAGGGAGAGTACACGGGCTGTCACTGCTGCACCACAACGCACAGAGCATCCTGGTGCACGGCCACCAGCAGCCTCCCCAAAGGGTCCAGTTGGGAGGAACCCACTGGCAAGGGCAGCCCCCACCACAAGAGTCGCTTCACATTTTGTGCGCGCTACAATGCTCCTCCTTTTTATAGTGGGGATGCTGAAAGCATGCTAATGAAACTGTAACCATGTGTGTTCAAAAGAAATGTTAAAAAGCGCAATTCCTGCTCACACCACACGGGTGCAGCACAGCTCGGGATTGTCAAGAATGATGGCATAATGCTAGTTTCGTTCTCACAGCACCTGGAACTTTTCACCCTCTGCACCCCCAGTTCCCACAACTATGCTTCTATGCAGGGAACTTCTTATGCCACGAGGGGGTGCAGGGAGACTGTACAGGAGACCCAAGCCCACACCCCTAGCACTGCAGCTCCAGGGCTGTGTTCTGGATTCACTTTTTGCTCTCTGATAAAACTGCCCCAGGCTCCTCTGTCCAACCAATATTCGTCCGGGCTCCCCGGCGCGGTTAGTATCTGTACCGAGCTTTCCCCAGACCTGCCACAGGAGAGCTGGGCACTCACCTGCTCTAGGAGAGCCAGACAGGCCCTGAGTGGGGCTGCAAAGTGCATTAAAAGTTGACTTCAGGACAGTGGGGCTAGAACAATATCTACAGTGTGGGGGCTGAGAGCCATTGGAAGAGCCAGTTGTAAATCCTGTATAGAACAGAAACCTCTTCAAGCCAGGGGCTGCTGCTGCACCCCCAGTTCCAGCTCCCCCGCCTGACACACACACAGCCCCTGCATCTGCCCCACCCCAGGTCTCCTCAGCCCAGAGCTGAGCCCATCGGTAGCTCGGTCCCCAGCCGAGTGGGGAATCAGCACCCCCAGAAATTACCCTGGGACCAGTGTGATCTGCCTGCACCCCACCCCCATGTACTCGGAGTGAGTCAGTTTCCCCATCAGCAACGTGTCACCCCCCCCCCCATGTGTCTCTTCTCTTCCCAGTTCCCTCCAACCCGCCCCATTTCCCCTGCACTCCGGGCTGGGTCACTGCCAGCCCCATCTTCTCCCCTCCTGACCCCATCACCCTGTCCCTCACGGGTCTATGGGGCTGGATCTCTCCCTGCCCCCTTCTCCCCTCATCCCCTCCCCCCAATATCCCCTGCCTCGGGGGGTCTGTGGGGCTGGGACTCTCCCTGCCCCCTTCTCCCCTCATCCCCTCCCCCCAATATCC